GAGGCAGAGACAGGTGGATCTCTGTGAGTTCGAGGCCAGCCTGGTCTCCAGAGTGAGTGCCAGGATAGGCTCCAAAGCTACACAGAGAAACCCTGTCTCGAAAACAAACAAACAAACAAACAAAAAACCCCAAAGAATTACTTAACACCTTAATTAATTCCACAATGCTTATATCCATGTTTAATTAGAAAAATTGCATATACTAATTTTAAATAGAGACCTTGCTTGTTTTCTATTTTCATTTCATAATCATCTTTATTTTCACAGGAGACAAAATTCAGTCAAGTTGCTAGGGAGAGGTTCCTGCTGGGAGCTGTCTCTCAGTACTGGGAAGGAAAGGCTCAGGAGGTGTGTCAGCACTGGACCTTGGAAGGCAAAGTTCTTACCAAGGGAAGGGCTTCCCCTCCCATCTCAAGTTTCTCCATTAATTTCCCCTCCCCCACCTCTTTTTTTTTTTTTTTTCAAGACAGGGTTTCTCTGTCTTGAAGCAGCCTCTGGAACTCACCCTGTAGACCAGGCTGTCCTCAAACTCACAGAGATCCACCTGCTTCTGCCTTCAGAGTGCTGGGATTAAGGGCATGCACCACCACCACCCAGCCACTTCCCCTTTCTTTTCCATTACTCTACTGTTTTCTCTCTTAAAATACTTGAATAAATATTTAGCTTACTTATTTAGGTGACATTTCCATTTGCATTTTAAATAAACTATTCATTTTAAATTAGGATGTAAAATTGGTATTTTTGACAATTACTAAAAGATTTGAAGTGTTCCCGCTCACAAGGAGAAGAAAAGCTACCCACAATGCCATGCTAACTAGCCAGCAAGACATGTGTGTGTATTTTGCCTGTGCTTCTTGATTGGCTCTATTACTGTAACTTTGCTCCAGCATTCCTCTTGCGAGCATCATAGCTCAGTACTTCAGAAGGGTCTCACAGCCCAGCAATTTCCTCCTGCCGGTCTCCTTCTCTGATATGCCTGTTTCCTGGGAACTTTTATAGTATAGAATCATTTGCAAATTCCTTGTGATACCAACAGCAGAGGTGCTTGCAAAATGATGATATTATGCTGATTTCTGTCAAATGTAGCTGAGAAAGAAAAGAACAGTGCAGTGCAGAGTGTGAGTAAGTAGGGAATTGTGGAAATGAGGGACCAAAGAACACATAGATGCTGTCTCAGTCCCAGTACCTCCTGCAGTACCTGAGCTCATCACATGGAGTGGATTGACACTCACCTTTGCAGAGGATGGAGAGATAGATGGAACAGAAGCAAGCTCAGCATAAACAGTGGGTGGGAGAAGTTGCCTCCACTATGCACAGAAACCTAGTCAAGCAGCACGGTCACATTGCCTCCTCGTTTGTCACTTCATTCAGCCTGCACTCTACACAACTTCATTTTCCTGACACCCTAGAGATGTCTACCTTCTCTGGTCACAATAGAAATGAACTGTTTACTCCATTCTGTCTTAATTCCCCACCTAAACCTATCTCTGTTCCTAATATATTTCTGATAGATCCTCTATAATCACAGAAAAGATTAAAAAAAAAAAACTCAAAGGAAAAAATGAAAATGTCAATTCCTTGATTACCTTTCAAAAGGACTAATGATCTAGAAAAATGAAAAATAAGCAGCTATTTCCAAGGATTTTTGTAGTAGATTACCCCCAAATTAACCAGAGATGAGGGTTTTTGTAAGAACAATTCCTATACCAGGACAGCTCCACTCTACATGAGAGTAACTTCTCAAGTCTACCCTCACACCATCCTCTAACCTCTGTGGTGTTTTTAGGGACAATGGCTCACAAAGGCTCATGTTTAAAGCTTGATCCTCAGTTGGTGAAACCGTTTGGGAATGTTTAGGAAATGTATCCTTGTTGGAGGAGGTATGTCACAGGGGGTGGGCTTTGAAGGTTCAAAAGTCCAACCATTTCCAGTAACTGTCTCTGTCTTTCTCCCCTGCTCCAGAGCCACTCCCATTAGCTCTCTCTGTCTCATTCGGACACACCGTTGTTGTTTCCACACATAAGGTTCCAAATACTGCTGTAGCAACGTGCCTGCTGACTGTCCTGCTCCCTGCCATGATAGTCATGGACTAAAGTGTAAGCAAGCCCACAATAACTTCTTTCTATGTGTAGGTTGCCTTGGCCATGGTGTCTCTTCCCAGCACTAGAGAAGTAAGTCAATTTCTTGGGTCTTGTCTAGGCTTATAGTTCACTGAACAGTATCATAAAATTCAAATGTTGCTTATTGTTTAGGGCAATTTCTCTCTCATTCCTGACCTGATAATAAGATTGACAGCAAGAAGAAAAAAAAATTTTTTTTTTTAGAATTTTTTTCTCTCTTTTTATTATTATTAATTCAAGTTAGGGGACAGTCTTGTTTCACATGTACTTCCCCTCTCCCTCTCCCTCTCTCTCCCCTTAACCAAACCCTCCTCCCCCACCTCCAACCTACCCCCACCCCATCCACCCACCACTCCCCAGGCAGGGTAGGGCCCCCAACCGGGGCTCCACCAAGTCCACCAAATCTTCCTGTGCTGGGCCTGGGTCCCTCCCCATGTGTTCAGAGATAGAGTGCATCCCTTCAAGTGGGATGGGCTCTCGGAGTCCCCCACATACACCAGGGCAAAAAAGTCAGTCCACCTCCGGAGGCTCCCAGGAGTGCAGGGGCCTCCCCGATGGCATCCATGATCAGGGGGCTGGATTAGTCCCGTACTGGCCTCCCAAAGAGCATCTGGGGTCGATATGCTTTCCCTTTTTCAGGCCAACTGTTTATGTGGGTTTCTCCAACCTGGTACAGACCCCTTCGTTCTTCATTCCTCCCTCTCTTCAACTAGGTTCCAGAATTCAGCTCAGTGTATAAGAAGAAAAATTTTATGAGTCTTTGAACACCAATAATGGCAGACTAAGGAGAAGAATGGCAGAATCATTTTGTTATAGTCTCATGTCCAGATAGAGCATAGCTTCTGACTTCCAAAATTCCTTTTTATCAAGTCCCTAAATCAGACTGAATTAAAGAGCAAAGGTCACTTTATAAGCACAAATCAAGGTTTTCACAATTGTATTATCGGAAACATTATATAGAAAGGATTCCTCAATCTACTTGTGCTAGTGTATTTTATTTCATTATTTCCTCATGTCTTGACCTATCCTGTGTTGCATAATTAATACATATACTTCATCAGTCTCATTGCTCTGAATATTTCCTGCTCTGAATGTCAGTGTCTGACTTGGTCTATAATGATGTCTTGCTATTCTCATCAATATTAAAATTATGTTTCTAGGATTTTTAGTTGGTTATATTTAACAAAATCTACATAACTTCCTCCTTTCAACTGATAACAGATGGCTCAGTGTCATTGATTACATAAATAAAATCATGTAAGAGATTTTATTCTTCAAGAAAGTAAACTTAGATTTGCCAAAATAGAGAGGTTAGTGATTCATTTTAACAAAACACTGCATTTCTCATCCATGCTGGAGTCAAGCAGAGCACCAAGTAATTACCTGATTGTGGATTCCTTGGGCCACATGTATCAAAGTTTCCAGCTTCATGTGAGAATTAAATATTGGTATGTGGTAACATTTCAATTTCACAACTGGGCTCTGCCTATGGAGATCTAAGTTATAAATCACTGTAGGTTGGGAAGGGAACACAGTTTTAATATCTTTCTTGAGTAGTCAGAGCATATGTACTTTTTATCTACTCCCAACACTGAGAATTTCAATTTTCTATTATATTTTTTCTTTGAGGTTCATATAATTCAGAGGTAATGAGTTAATGTATATTTGTAATATTTTTAGTTTTATTATTTCCAATCAACCTTTGGTTGCCTTATTCATATTAATAATTTAATTTTGGGTCAAGAGCTTGTACTTTAGAGTTTGTTTTAAAAATTATTTTCCTGAATGCAGTGACAGGACATCTACAGTTTACAGCTATTAATTATCCATTACATGATGGAGGAGTCAGAGGGTTCTCAACATATACAAATGATATCACATGAGAGGATAGAAACATTAATTGCCTCGGTAACATTATTGTACATTGCATACCTGTATAAAATTATAGTGTTCTACATTGCTAAATATGTACAATTATGTTAATTGTGATTTTAAAAGTTGTTCTAATAGCAATAACAAATATGAAAGCTGGATATATTGCTAAAAGACAATAAGAAATATAAATATTTTAGGAAAAGGTTTGGAAAGAACAACAGATTGGATTGAGCATCACTTGTGAGTTAGTGATCAATATTCTGCTTTTTTGGTAAGCAATAAAAATGGTAAGCAGCACTCAATACCACAACTCAAAAGAAACTAATAAAGACAAGTAACAAACACAATGGCGTTTACTTGAAGGAAGTATGATCATTACACAACTTTCTTATTGACATCTAACCTCAGAGTCAACTGTTAAAACCTTTGATTTTGTTACCAGCAAATATTTTGCTTGAAACAAGTGAATTCTACCCAAATCTGGAACATAATAGTGGCCATTTCTGGAAAGAAAGAGCTAGCACGACCTCATCTGAATCATGCCTGTGAAAGAGGCAGACAAACATTTTTAAGGACACTTTAAAGCAACAGTTCTCAACCTGTGGCTTACAGCCCCTTTGGTAAACCTCTGTCTCAAAAGATGTTTATATTATGATTCATGACAGTTGAAAAATTTACAGTTATGAAGTAGCAACAAAAATAATTTATGGTTGGGGTTACCAAAACATGAGGAACTGTCTTAAGGAGTCACAGCATTAGTAAGGCTGAGAACCACTGACTTAGAGTCTTTTTAGTCTGAGAATAATGACACATGGAGATTTGTATCTTTAATATCCCATTGTTAAGAGTATTATAGTGTAGTTGCTTAATTCATTCTTTGCTATGGGTAACTGCCTAAGATCCTTATCTCTATGGAGGCAATACCTCATTTAGAGTTGTTAGCAGAAATAATAATATTCTAATGTTTTCTTTGGGGCAATGTTCAAGGAAATGCCCAAAACTCACTCAATGAAGTAGACTTCACCCTTCTCTGTGTAGGCCATTTCCCAGTTATCAGGCAATGGGTCCAAGTCTTCATTCTCCTCAGACTTTGTTGGCTTTGTATCATCCACCTGTTCCTTTATCTCTTCAGGCTGACTGTACACTGGTGCAGGGTAAGGCTGGGAGGGTGTCTCCTCTGAGGCACCTGCACTTTTGTCTTCATGTTCACTGGATTCTGCAAGAAGAAGAGCATGTGGTCAGTTGCTCCAGCCACAGAAACTGTGAAGGAGTATGGGATGTGCTGCATTGGGGATTAAGGGCTACAAAAGCTAATAGGAAACAGTTTTCATCAGACATAGTAGCAAAAAGCTATGGAAATTATCAGCACATTGTTCCAGGTTCACTTTTCATTCATCAATTTTGTCTATCATTCAATGAAATACTATTGCTTACTCAGTAGGAGAGATGAATTCTAAAGATCTTTTTCTTAACACAGCTGTGGTAAACAAAATATTGATAATCTAAAGATGTTCGCGTCCTAATGCCTAGATCATGGGGATATTTACTTTGTATGGGAAAGATTATTTGCAGATATTTTAAAATAAAAGACCTAGAGAAAGGAGATTGTCTTTGATTATTCAAGTGGGTTCACTATAATCACAAAAGACCTTAAAAGCAATAGAGGCAACAGAGAAGGACAACAACCTGACTACAGAGAAGTGGAAGGTGCTGCAGTCTGGTTGGTTTTGGACAAGGGTGACCTCCCCATGACAGAACAGGAGAGGATCTCCTTCCTTCCTGAGCTATGCCAGGAAGGAAGCCAACCCTGACAACACCATGATTTTAGTTTGCGGTGACCCACATCAGACTTGTAACTTTCAGAGCTGGGATAAAATGCACTTACAATAGTTAGACACTGTGCTGCTAGTAATTTGTGACACTAGCTATGGAAAACTCATAGAAGAAAAGCTAAAACAGATAAATACCTTAGAAGAAATATGATGTGCCACTTCATGTGTATAGTTTATAATAATAAAAATAAACAGTGGCTAACAGATGGCTCTGAGGGTCAGGGCTGTTCCTCAGGTCCCATTTCCAGCATCCACATCCGGTGACTTACAGTCACCTGAAACTCCAGCTTGGGTGTGGGGAATCTTATTCTCTCTTAATCTTTATGCCCTCTATCATCACCCACATACAGCACACATACACACAAATAATAAAGATACATTGCTTTATAAAAGGAAGAAATGGCTGGGGAGAAGACTCAGTGGGTAATAGTACTTACTACCCATTGTTGGGAAACTGAGCCCCACTTTTGGGTCCCCATCACATAAAAAGCTAGGTGTGGCCACTCTACCTGTTACTCTACCCATAATCCAAACATTGTAGTGGACACACAGGACAGTCACTGGGGCTTGCTGGCCAGTCACCCTAGCCAAAACCCGGCTAGCTCCAAGACCAGCAAAATATGATGCCTCAAGTGAATAGGGTAGAGAGGGCTAGCCTGGGACCCTGCCATAGTCTTCTGGCCTCGGAGTATGTGCAAGGTACACACACACACACACACACACACACCATACACACAAACAGAGGGCTAAGAAATAGGCAACAAATGAACAATAAAGGAAAATTTACCTAATCAAATAAGTGTTAGTTTACACCGACTCTAAAGCTAGATTGATGAAACACAAATCCCCCCCACACACACACACACATTTAGCTGAAAATTCTTTAGTCAAAAGGTGTATTAGATTACATACTCAAAAAACACGGATGCATGTTAGGAAACACACAAACCAGAGCAAGAGTACACTCTTTGTCTGTATAAGCGATGAGCTCAAAGATGATGGGATAACAACTTTACTAGATTGAGGAAATCAATAAAGACAGCAACTCAAGAACTTCACCATGCCCAGAGTCCCCTCTATCTGGACAAACTCAGTCTCACTTAAACAAGCAAACTTCTGAATATAGATGGGCTATGTATCTTATCTATGGACACTGTTTGAAGAATTACTCAGATCTTGGTAACTGATCAGAATGTAGTTGTCAAAATACAGGAAGAAAAGGAAAAAATACAGAAAGCAACAAAAACTAAATCTAGTGTAATAAATTAAATGCAAATAGGGATTCATATTTTGGGAAAATTGGAATGTTTATTGAAGATATGTTCTTAAGGGAGAAGATAAATACATAGAAAGTCTGCTGAAGTGAAGGATTTGACCCTGTGTTATAAAGTTTAGGTCTAGGGAGTAAAAATGGAAGTGAAGATATTCTAAAGGTCTCCTTCAGGAGATAATCAGAGATTAGGTGAATAAGATTTAGGTGCTTTGGGAGCCCATTCCACATAGAGGGATACTCTCGAAGCCCAGACACAAGGATGAGGGCCTAGGCCCTGATCCAAATGATATGACAGACTTTGAAGATCCCCCACAGAAGGCCTCACCTTCCCTGGGAGCAGAAAGGGGATGGGATATGAGATTAGTGGGGGGGGCAAGAGAGGAGGGGAGGGCAAAGGAACTCAGATTAACATGTCAAACAAGCTTGTTTCTAATTTAAATAAAAAATAAAGATTTAGGTGCTGTTTTCTTGGGATGATGATTGAACAAACACTTTGCTCAAGAGATAGACTTCATAGGTTACTTTTGTACTGTTTCCTAATGTTTACTTTATAGTTTTTATGCTTTTGCTTTTCCAATATAGCTTATCCCTCATTAATAACAGAACACAGGCATTTGTTGGAGCACACAGTACAAGTACTACTTAGAGCAAGAAAAAAACCTGGAGTAAAAAAATAAAGAAGATTCTACAGAAATACATGCAAAGGGACAATTTGACATTAAACTGAAAGAAGGGTACTCCTGAAGTTCACAGGTAAAGAAATATATTGAGTGATGATATGAGAACAATGCCAGCTTGGGAACAAGAATCTATAAAACTCTTTGGAAATAAGCAATAGCTAGTCAAGCAAAAAATGCATACACAAATGCACATGTGTTTTTGATGCAATTTTCCTACTTGGAGATTATCTCCTCTAGAAATGAAGGCATCATTGAGAAGTGTTGCTGAACATTTATTGCAATATTGTTTGCAGTAGCAAAACCCTGGAACTGGTATAATTATTCAGAACCTGGTCAGTATATTGTGTTTTTCATGATCATGGAGAAAGATGCAATTTAAAAACAATAAAATTACAGCAACAGAAATATTGACCAGGAAAGGTACTTATAATTATGATTTGAAGACTAATTTTCAAGGGATATAAATTATACATATATGCATAAATACATATGTACATGCATCATATATTTGCACATGCATAGGATTACACATAGCTCCATAGAACTTACAAATAGTCGGGGAAAATGTTAATCTGTCAACTTTTGGAATGGGTTGGTGATGGGAGAAACTTTCCGTACTTGATTTTGCATTCATTGGCTGTATTACTTTTAGGAATTCACAACTTAATAAAGATCATTTAGTAAATTGGAGTCTTTGTCTTAATATAAATAGTTTGGTCAATTTTTCTCTATCTGTTTTGATCTAGGACAGCCGTAGTACATGATTTATTCAGAATTAGGAAACTTAAGAACACATGATACTCACTGGCTTGGATTGAAAAGGGGAAACAAGGAAATAATAGAATCTTCACTGACATAGTCAATTAGTGATTCTTACAGATTCAAACTCTTCAACATGTGTGCAGCGCAGCAAGCAGTGTGAGAGCATGTGCCATTGTCTTTAGATTCCATTGGCAGCATCTTGTCACAACACTTAAGCATCAAGATGTGGGGTCTGTTGTGGTGTGACTGCAGCATCCAGAACATGGTGCTGCTCAGGAAAGTTAAAATGCACAGCAGGCTCTGAACTTCTGCCCTTGTTCAATACTCGCATCCGATGTTCTGAGTACCCCACTGCTTCAGGCAATGAGGAAAGGGAACAAGGAGGCAGGAATCTTGCTTTGTTGGAACTAAACCATGCCCTCCATAATCTTCCTACCATGTGCTAATGCACTGAGAGCTACTGGAAATAAAGGGGAAGATTTGGGGCCTATCCATTCATTAGTCTCATGTCAAGAGTCAAGCACCACTTTTTTCCTACATGCTGTAACAACTGAGGTATCTTTCGGAATGATGGGAGAGACAGATGATGAATCGTGGCTAGGTTGGGCACAGACTTCTTTCCAAGATCTCAGGATTCAGATTCTATCCTGACAGTTAAGGCAACAAATCTTCCTCAAGAGTGTGACAAAATTTTAGAAGCTCATTTTCTACAAAACTTTTCTGGGTATTTGCAGAGAGCAGGACATGAGTCCATAGACCAGAGGTAAGTTGTTTTTATGTCCCAGACAGAAGACCTATTGTCTCTTGGCATGGACATGAAAAGAAGTAGGTTGACATAAGATTTTACGTAATTAAAGGACACATGAGAATTGGGAAGTCATAATCAGCTTGATGGGTACTGAAGCTTCGTAGAGATAGAGACTGTAGAGGGGCAGAGAATCCTTTGGGTAATGAGATTGTGGTACAGTTTCACATACTAGGTTTAGAAGCTCCTGCCAAACTTATGATGGAGGCACCCAGTGACAGAGAATTCGTGGCTGGAAAGGAACAACTTGAAAGACAGGAGCAGATGACTGGATGGTGTGACAATTTAAGCCAAGAGTGAATGCATTTGCCAAGAGAGAGTTCATGGATCCCACAAGGATCTGAGCTGCACCAGCACTCACCAGTCACAAAGGAGGAAGGTGGCAGGAGGAGCATAGGACAGCAGCCTGGACAGTGGGGGCTCATCATACCTTGACACAGCATGGGAATAGGACAGAAACAAGGGCGGTCCAACCTTCTGAGGATCACAGCACAGAAAGGACCCAACACCACCAGGCACCAACAATGGAGCAATCCTTGATGATATCAGCTCTCAGTAAATGTGGTACTTATGGGAGAATGATTGGTAAAGAAGCCAGTCCACTAGGAATTGAAGATTGATAAAAGCAAAGAATATCTAATGAAGAATTTGTGCAAGGTTCACTTTTGAGCTTGAGAGATAGCTCAGGGGGCAGGAATTTTCCATCAAGAGTGGAAAATACCAGTTTAGTCCCACATTCCCATATGGTGAAAGGAAAAGAACCAATTCCTGAATGCTGTTCTTTGAACTCAGCATGTGCACCATGGCATGTAGATATACAACACATACTCAAAAAATATGTCAGGTGTGGTGATGCATGCTTAT